CAGAACAACCATTCGAGAAAGGCGAACGTTCTACAAAACTATATTTCCTTTGATCCATGATAAATAGTTCTTTATATTTACACAAGAAAAAATATAGGAAATATTATGTAAACTTTGTTAGTTGCACCTGGTTTTGAGATCATTAATTGATTTGTGGAGAAAYGCATGCATATAAAAATATAATCTACTCATTTGGCTGTTGTATCCGTGACAGCGTTGGACAATCACAACAACGCTAGGCTCAATAACACTARGTGAAAGCCCAAAGATGGAATTGGGATTTAGAAGTTTATTTTTGAAAGAGGGAGCTAGGAAAACTAGAGAACCCGAAGAAAATCCCTCGAAGCTAGCAGAGTCACGGAAAACAATCTCTCTTAAATCTATGCGCAAAATGTAGCTTTCTTTCGAAGCCATCTAAAGCAAAATGCCTTTTTGTTGCATAATTACAATTGCGAAAATATATAATCTTCCATTTGTATCCATTCATTTTCTTCACGCAAAAACGATCGAATATTTCACTATATTTCTTCTATCACTTCTACATATAMATGCAGTGCGCGTTATTTGTCAAGTCAAGTTTAAAAATAGTTCATGCAAAGTGCTTATTTTGAAACAGGAACTTAACTGGACACCGGGGTAAAGGATCCCCGCATGGAACAACACGTACCTTTGATAACAACACGTAGCGGCTTGATAACAAAACAAAAACTGTACACGTGCATACGTACGTGGAGGTAATAAATTTTGAATATTTCAGTGACATCGTTAATGTAATTGTTGATGTATTTGGTAGCAATATGTAAAGTAGGCTCATTTTTAGGGGTTGAACTAGTTTAGTAGCAATTGATAAAGTAGGTTTTTAGGGTTTAACTAGTTTACTCACTTGCATGAGCGAGTGTAACACAGCAAAGGAGTAGAAGCCAGATGACTTTAGTGTAACACTTCATCTTCTTGCTCGCTGAAGACAGAACTYCGCTTAACCAAGGAGAGAAACGAAGTGACTCAAGTCTCTAATGGACCACCTGGTTAATAGACTCATTGCATAATTATAGGAATTATTCAACACCCACACAACCAATCAGCGATCAGCAGTTACTTCATAATTGTATATTTTATAATGAATGTTCACTGTTCRTACTTATATATATTAAACAAATGAAGCTCATTTGTTTTCGAAGAAATTCCAACGTGAAACTTTAAGAAATCATTGGCTATTTGTTTCCAAGAAATCAGGTATTTTTGCTGCGAAATTGGAGGGGGGGGGGGGGGGGGGGGGGGGGGGGGGGGCTAGCTAGACAGAATATAGGAGACATCATCATTCATATGTTGACGACACGACAAATGAGTAATTTTGAAATATAAATTAGAATACAGCTGTGTCAACTTAATTTCTTGAAATATTTAAACAGCTTTAGCCATATGTTAACAAAATTATCATTTCATGATAAATTGAATTGTCAGGTGAAATACTCGTGAAATACACCTTAGCGGTGACAGCTCACCTCCTCTCTATACTTATGCGGCTGTAAGAGCTAGTCATGATAACACTGGAAATGCTTTGATTTATTTTTWAACTGGGATTTTCTGCAAGTGAAAAGTGCAGGGTATGATAAAAGTTGAGCCACCGGCGCCGATTTGTTCACCTCGGTTGAACTACCTTCCCTCCTTCCAAAACCCCCTAGTATAGCTACTACACGTCCTTCTATCCCGGTAATGTTGATTAGCTGCTGAGGGGACTAGAGAAATCAGTTAGGCGAGTGACGCATGAAGATGCACGCTGTGCCAAAAGTAAAATATTCCGGATCTGCATATTATTGAAAACGAACCGGTTCACGTTCAGTATTTTTTAGTTTTCGAATTTTTGATGCGTGTTTGATGTGACTTTCACTTAACGCATTCAATTACGAATCCGGTCTGTTTTTACRAATTTGATTAGCATACCTTGCGCCAAATTTCGCGTCAATTTAAGGTATACCCCATCAACGATGTCGCGTGTCATTTGCTTGCTATAAATCACGTGACTTTTTTGGAGTTGACTGGAGGGGCAAAGAAGCGGTTGACTGAGGGGCAACTAGCGGATGCTAAGTCAAAACATGTTAAAATAAGTCCTCAAACTATTGTATTTGACTATTTCTACGACATGAAACCAGAAAACAAGARATCAAAACAACCTCCAAGATTCTACAAGCCGCATTGTGCACATAACGATCCCGTACTTTGGACGTCGGTAATGTTATACAATGTTTCGCGGAACGCTAGTAAAAACGGCACAAAGGAAATTAAATAAAGGGTTGGAAAAAGAAGTCATGAATTTATAGCAAATATCGAAGTTACACTCTATTGCCTTCAAACAATTGTTTCAAGTCGACGCATTTGGTCAATACAAAGAAATGTATAGAAGCTGACCCAAAAGTAACAATTGTCTCAAGGCAATAGAATGTAACTCCGATATCTGCTATTGGAATTAAATATGTCAAGAAATAAAAATAACTGAGAAAAAAAGAAAGAAAAAAGAAAAAAATAATAGAAAAAAGAAAAAGAAAGAGAAAAGAATAATAGTAAAGAGAAGTAAAATGTTTTGTCAACGAGAAAAAGAGAAAATATAAMGGACCCTGGAATAATAGGCATTTACAAACTGTAATTAGCGGTTGCGTGCCCCCTTTTCTTGGTTCTTTCACCACGTATATAAGGACGTGTACCTGTGTATTTGAACATTTYAATCTTTGTTTGACCCAGCTTTATTTWTTCTTGGTGTACAGATTTCAATCAYTGGAGTTAATTGACTTATTAATTTGTGRATGTTTGTTTCATTATTGTATTGAKTTGAGGTGGCTTATGTCTCGTGGCATTAGTGCGTACGTTGTGGATGATTATTGCAAAGATCGGGAGATTTTAGCGTCCCTTGCTCTCAACTCCTTTTTGTAACCACGTCTTCTTTGTTTTAATTAATTCCAGCACTTTCCTTCCTTCCTTCCTTCCTT